CCCCAAATCTATTCTCTGGTTCTTAAGTCAAAAATGACTACAGAGTTATTTTGTTTGTTTGTTTTTTGTGGCTGGCCACAGGGATTGAACCCTGGACCCTGGTATTATCAGTACCATGCTCTAACCAACTGAACTGGCCAGCCTAGGCTACAGAGTTTCAAATCAGAGTTTTAGCTGCTCCACATGCACCCCACCCTCTCTCTTCAGTGCTGACTGTGGTCTGCATACAAGTGGGCAACTCACCCCATGCTGTTCCCTTCTTACAACTGTCTGCTCTGTTCCAAAATATGCCTGATTTTGTGCACTCTCCAATGCTTTGATGTATTATGTAATTGCCTTTTGTATTGTGTCCAGAGTTTATAGTTAATAACTGTGTGAGGGTAATTCTGGTGGGAGCTTGTTGGCAATAGTGAAAGCAGAACTTCTGAAGATTTATTTAGGGAGACAGAACTTGGGATATTTGAGGGACTGAAAGAAGGCCAGTAGAGCTGCTGAAGTTTGGAGAGAAAGGAAGACAGTGGCATAAGATGAAGCTAGAGTGGGAACAGATTATGGAGGACCTTATAAACCATGCATGTCTCAGCAAACATCATCAATGGGTGCCACGTAGGTGGGGGATCATCACGTAAGAAATCTGTCATGTCCCCTGGAGGTCAGGGTTTGGGACCATGTTGAAATTCTGGGTTTGTAGTCTTTTTTGCTTGTTAGTGCTACATCTAGTCTGCACCAGACCCATGGCTTTTTGCTGACTTAGAGTTTCTTAAATCAGTTTTCTTTACCTCTGTATCGCAGGAGCCCCAAATCTGAAAGGGCACTCGTGTAGTGTTTGCCTATTCCAAAAAACTCACCTGGTATCAATAGGTATAGACATTGGTTTATTTTATGGGAGTCACTGATGGCAGCTGGCCAGCTAGATATCCGTACCTCCACAGGGTACATACAATAGTTATATATAATGAACAGATCAAAGTAGGGGTGTAAATCATTTGCATGCTTATGCACAGACCCTCACCCAGCTCACATAACTCAAAGTGCATAGGAGATCTGGCTGAGTAGATAAATTAATCTACTGGCTACTCTCCTGGCCAGAGTGCTTTAACACCAGCATGCTAATTCATTTACTTAGGGTCCCTGCGTCCTCCAGTCTTTCATTTGTCTTAAAGGGGACTTGTCTTTCCTTGGGTAACTACCTTGGCCAGGGGTAGTTCCCGGGGGGGTTGGGGGGAGACTCTGGTATGCACGCGGAGGGGGAATAGGTCTATGTTCAGCATTTACCCTGCACCTCATCATACTGCCTCCAGCATGTACAATAAACCTTTCCAATGCAGGAGTTGCCACTGAGGTAATTAGTGTTGGGGAGCTATTATTAAAATAGAAAGCCAAGGAAGAGTTATTTCCCTGGAAAACTGGGTGGGTGGGAAATGTATATCTATATATCTATATAGATGTATTTTTTTCTTATAATACATATATTCTGTAAGCTAGAGGCCTGAGCCTTCAAGGAGAGGGTTGGCCAATAAAGAAGAATTCTTTGCCTACTTCAGCTTTGCCATAAAATAAGTGGGAGTGGGGTCATATGAGGATCCTTGTATGATTCCACTCCCACTTATTTTGAGTGGTTATAAAAGGAGCCAAAGGTCACAAAGCTGGATGTCCTGAAACCCTAAAATCTTATTGCAATAGTCAGCACCACACTCAGCCAGTGAGCAAACCGGCCATCCCTATATAGGATCCGAACCCATGGCCTTGCCGTTATCAGCACCGCACTCTCCCGAGTAAGCCACGAGGCCGGCCCAAATCTTATTGCAATAGTGAGAGAGATTTTCCCAATGATGCTCAGTGATTTGCAATACAAATTTTTATACTTGACCCTTATAGTGTCCTGCCTGTATTCTAGTGCTTGATGAAGTGTCTTGCACCTCCTCCTTAGCAGGAGTTAATCACAGATGCCTTTGGCTTGGCACAGGCCATGTTGCAACCTGATAAACAGTTGAATAATGCAATATCTTCTGTTTACCGTAAGCAGAAACTCCTGGAGTTTTAACTCTGCATTTCTGATCCTCATATTGTTACTCTGAAAAACTTAATATTCAATTTGGTTAAAAAACAACAACAACAAAAACCCAAACAACTGACCAGAACATGTTCTTGAGTTTATTTTTGTATGGACACTATTTAATGAATACCTATCTGTCCAACAGTATTAGATTCTGTGAGAAGCTAAACTACAATTATCAATGTGGGCTGAGGTTTTCTGGAAAAGGCTTTATGTATTTAATTGATACATAAGCTGGACCTTGAAGAAAATCTAACGGATTAAATAGGTAAAAGGATTCCAGTTGATGAAGAAGTGAAACCATTACAATTTCACTTTAACTCAAGTCTTCCTAGAGATTCCAACTTTATCACTGACTGCCATACAATTTGGAAATAGAAAAGAGGGAAGAGAAGGAAAGAAAAGAAGTGAGGAAGGAAGGGGAGAAGGGAGGCAAGTGTAGAAAGAAGGGAAGAAAAAAAGTGAGCCAGAAAAGATGCCTCTTAAAATTCATTTAATAAACATTTATTGAGTATCTAAGTTGTGCCATGCATTGGGCAGATTCTGATATAGTTGGAAAAATTGTTACACAGTTGGGATCATTGGGATCATTCTATAGAGTGACATCAGGAAGCCAGACAAAATAACTCAAAGAATTCCTTTCTGACTAATCTAAGGGAACTATGATTCTTCAAGCTATGTTTGCTTTTTTGTTATGGGTGATTTTGACCAATTTCTGCTTTGTTTCTTCTTCCAATAGAACTAATTCCACCTAGCTTAAAGGTGGTTGATATTCAGGGCCGAGCCCGTGGCTCACTCAGGAGGGTGTGGCGCTGGGAGTGCGGCAGCGCTCCGGCCGCGGGTTCGGATCCTAAATAGGGATGACCGGTGCGCTCACTGGCTGAGCGCGGTGCGGCCGGTCTCAAAAAGGACAAAAAAAAAAAAAAAAAAAAAAAAAAAAGGGGGGTTGATTTTCAAAAAAAAAAAAATTTTTGTTTAGTGTAGGGTTTTTT